TCTCTCTCTCTCTCTCTCTCTCTGTCTCTCTCTCTCTCCCTCCCTCCCCTGCTCTCACACACACACTGTCTCTCTCTAAAAATAAATAAAATAAAATAAAATAAATGAAAATATTAACTCCATGACTTGTGCAATGAGAAGCCAAGGAATGGATGATCATGAATAAATCCTTGTGGGGTCAGGATATATGGAAAGGCATTTGAATTCACCTGCAACAGCCTAAGGGAGCTCTGGGATCATAAGGCACTAATACCCCCTGGCAATCAAGAAGTAGTTTCCTAGTTTGGACACAAGCCCTTGCAATGAATCTTTCAGCAGATAAAATAGATTGGATGCATGGTGCTTGGGTGGCTCAGTCAGTTAAACATCTGATTCTTGATCTCAGCTCAGGTCTTGATCCTAGATTATGAATTCAAGCCCTTTATTGGGCTCCATGATGGGCATGAAGCCTACTTAAAAAAAAAAAAAAAAGCCCAAAACAAACAAACAAAAAAGACTGGAGGCATAGAAGTAAGAGACACTGTAATACCTGGGTGGGATGACAAACTGCCAATGGTACCCAGTTGCCCTTGAAATACAGTGACAGCATGCCCTGTGTGTTCTAAACAATGCTGAAGGCAACTGCTGAAGGAGTCTGGGACCACTGGACAGAGTTCCCAACTGGTAAAGGACCAATAATAATATTGGTCTCTGACCTTTAGCGAGGGTTCTACATATGTCTTGCTTTATATAGACACTGAGTCTGAACTAACCTAACCTTTCCCCTGTTGTGTAGACTGCGCTGGCACCATTAGGGGACTAGAGAAGTTGAGTACTATGTGTGGATATCCTTATCAAAAAAATAGCAATAAGGTCATATTTTAATGGTCATGATATGCAATACTGGTCAAAACACCATGACATTGAATGGAAGTTTTATCCCCTATAACCAGCAAGCATCAGGATTGACAGAAAGAAAAAATGAAATTTTACAGCAATAGATTAAATGACTAACAAGTAAAACAGCCATGGCCAAGTGGACTAAAATACTGTCCCAGACTTTAATACCTTTAAATGCTTAACTAGTAAGGCCTGTTGCCCCATGTACCAGACTAGGGACCCTGCAGAGACACTCAACAGTGTAAGTATGGAAGTCACAGGACACAGCGATTGTCTCACCACATATCAATGCGTTCTGTTGCTGAGAACACTAAGCCCCATCACACAGGGAAAGGGCATTTTCTCTTGGAATTTACAGTGGGACATCCTACTGGGATAGGTGAGTTATTTCATATCCCTGGGTGAAGGGTAACCACTTAATCTCCACCAAAATCCTGTCATCCTGCTATAAGCCAGATGTAAAAAAAAAAAGCATTATATTTGAATTAGAATATGCACCATTGAAAGAGGGGAGAAGGTGGGGTTGCATTCTTGCATATCCTGTCTCCAGTCCTTCTCCTCATGCCTGACCGTGCTGCATGCCCGGGCCAACATGTACGGTGTGTACAACCAGCTCAAATCGCTAAAGTTGCAGCCACATTAACAGCTAAGGATCAGGCCACAAGTATAACTTGTATAGAAGGAGAAGACCTTCCCATACACATTCTTACAAAATTTGTCTTTTCAACCTTGGACTTTTTCTGCCCCTATGGTGTCTAGTCATGATATGGGCACCTGGTACAGTGCCTTTGTACAGTGGTCCCACTCATATGCCTGACAAAGGAATCAATCTAGCTGTTGGGTATGTGGGCAACTGTCCCCCTCTAACTTATCAGGATTGCCATGGTGGGTATCACCACTCCAGGGAGAGGATTGAACAGCCCTAAAGTGGAGCGCCGGGGTGCCTCAGTGGGTTAAGCATTTGACTCTTGGTTTTGGCTCAGGTCATGGTCTCACAATTCATGGATTCAAGGTCTGCATCATGCTCTGTCAGTGCAGAGCCTGCTTAGGATTCTCTCTCTCCCCCCTATATGTCTCTTCCCCACTGGCTTTCTCTGCCTTTCTGTCTCTCACAACAAATAAACTTAAATTAAAAAAAAAAGAAAAGCCCTAAAGTTACGCATGAAGGAAGAGCAAACTAGGACTAGTGTTCCTAATTTATCTGATCTTACCAATACTGATCCAAAAACCTTGACTGTGGCACACACTATCCATAATGTTGGGTGTGGGTATTCTTTTTTTTTCTTTTTTTAAATTAATCCACCTATTAAACTGCTGACCAGAAGGGCCCTGAAAACACCACTAGCAGAGCCGTGGGTGGCTGTGTTCCATTTGGGACAGGTTTGTGTAGCTCACCTGGGTTATGGACATTTGAACACCAAGGAACTCTTACACTGGGAACAGAAAAATCACTCTAAATAAAACCAGCCCAGACAGACTAGATGAGAACTATATAGTCATTCTCTCATTTCAAAGGGTAGTGGCTGGCTTGGCACTGACTGGTATGGCCTCTCAGGTATTCATTGGGTAGCCCCGAATGGAACCCCATGGTTATATAGCACAAACCTTTGGCCATGGGTTTCACCTGGATGTTTGGGTCACTACATCTGGGTTTTCCCTGGACACAGGGGAGAATCCACCCAACAGTAACAAAAACTGTCAACTTTCCTCTCAAGGCACTTTTAGTTTTCTACTGATATAATAACTTGGCCACCATCTTTGTCCCCTCCATGGGCCTACAGGATGCTGTAGCACACATAGAAGCCCCTGCTAAATTCACCCAAGAAGCCTTAAATGATAGCCATCAAAACCTGTCTTTACTGAACCCTAAAATGTCTCCAATGAGAAAAGTTGTGCTCCCAAACAAGAGGACTTGGAACATCACTACTGCCTCACAAGGTGGCATTTCTCCATTCTCCAAACAAAATGAGTCTGCTGATGTGTCATCATTATTAATTCACATGAAACTACAAATACTCTGAACCCCTGCCTAGGGGACTTAAATCAAGGGTCTAAAGCATGAGGCTTTCATTAAAAAAAAATTGTTACTTATTTAAAAAATCATCATCTCAATCTATGTTTTTTCTGTTGTATGTTCCTATATTGTTGCTGTGGTTTCTGCCCCCATGCAGCCAGACAGCCCTGAGACTAGCCACCTCCCACTAATAAAACCTCTTGTTAACCGTTCAACATACACTGTAAGAGAGGGGCACATGGAAGATTTTAAGAGCCAGTCAGGAGAGAGATTGTCAGAGGAGGTCATCAAGAGGCCTTGACCGCAGGTTGACCCGTGGGCCACACCTAGGCAGCCAGGCTCCTAAACCCCTCCTCTGTCCTTGAAATATACATTCTGCCCGCCACTGCCGTTCCCACAGTGAGAGCCTTTTTAAGGATGCAGCTTTGAAAGAGCAATGTGTGGTTAAGGCTATCTGAAGAGAATATAAGGTGAACCCAGTTAAGGCTTCTAAACAAACTTTCAAGATTCTGGTGTGGAGATCTACTTGTCATGTGGCCGCCTAGGACCAGCTTTGTACGTGAGTTCCCTTGCTTATTAAGTGGCAACCTACCTGTCTGGAGGGGCCGCCTCTCTCTTTCTTCTGTCTCTCCTTGGCCTCTGAATGGAAGCAGTTTCAGATTGCACCAGGAAGCCCCCAGGTTTGTGAACCAGCACTTCACTTTTATGCTGCCGGATAGGAGTTTTTTATTTGTGTGCTCCAGTATATCAAAAATAACCTGAATCTCAGAGAACCGAAGTGACTTGGCTGAGGTTAAATAGCAGTGTCAGATCCGAGGCCTGAAATCTGATTTCCTCCCGTTCAATATCATGTTCTTTCCAGTTTTTCCTCAGTGTTAAGAAGAATATTAAGTATAAACCTTCAGGGCTCTAAACACTTAAAAAGGTGCATCCCAGAATGACAACTGACAGTGAGATCTAGGTTCAGTCTCAAATATAATTTTGAAAAGGAGGTCTTGTAGAAATTAGACCAACTTGCAGGGACATGCCATCCTTCACTTGGGCCATATGTAGCAAATATATATATATATATTTTAAGATTGTCTTTATGTGTGCCAAACATCCCATACCACTGAGAGCTATTACACAGATTTCTAGCCTAATTGGTTTGTATGACAAGAGATTGTGATTTAACTTTCTCATATATTTGGAAGAGAAGCTTTTCCTTTTGTGAATATCCTGCAAATCTCACAAAACCAGCCAAGCCTGGACATCCGGGAGCTTATTTCCTGAACTCTATGGTTCAATAAAGATGCCTGTCCTATAGTTATTGTTGAGAGCCCTCCCCCCCAAAATATGTCTTATATCGGTTGAAGTTTGACACAGATGAGCACATAGCAGCTTGCCGAAAATGACACCCTTTTTATCTTTCATTTTATTTTTCTTCTTAAATCAGACCACACAAAGGATCATTTGGTTAGAGCAGATTCTCATCAGCAGATTTCAGAACTGCTTGGGAAATTGTCAGAGAGGACAAGTCACCACCAATGTGAGTGTCACAGCATGTGCTGGATAAGCAGCCTTCTTTTCTCCAGGTGGCATTGGGGCCCTGGGCTGTGTTCTCTGAAGTTCATTAGCTACCTGGCTGAGACCTTATATTTAGTAACTGGAGCACCTTTTCGTTGGTCCGTCCATGAGTGAGCCAGAAGTGTCAGCTCTGTGGATTGCAAGTAGCTTCTCGGCTCCCCCAGTCACTCAGCAGAGCCTCTTGATGTTACGTGAACATGCTCACGCCAACAGAGGATAGCAGAGACTTAGGTTTGAAGTTCTCGCTTAGGAGAGAAAGAGGAAGTTCCCTCCTTGCTTACCCTCCTGCCCCTCCCCCTGCTACATTTTTAACCACACATTTTCCCCATTAAATCAGAATTGATGAAACCTATAGAACTGTAGCAGTGTTTGAAAATTGAAAAGCACATTGAAACATAACAATATTGTTGACTATACAAGGCAATTTCTTCAAATCGCGTAATGATGTGATGTATGTGGTTAGCCGTATCTACGCAGGAAGTGGTTTTATTTTAAAGTTTTTGTGCTCACCCCCACCCCCCACCTTTTTTTTTTCTTCAGTACTGAAATTAAGCAGCATCCAACATAGGCCTACTCTTACGACATGTGACTTTACTGTTTTCCGTTTTTGTTGAAAGAGTCATTAACAGTTGGAAGTTGATGGCAGTTTCAATAACAAGTGATCACCGAGAAAAGGTAAGTAAATTATAACTTTATATTGAACGTGGAATTTAAAGTTGAAAATGTTTGGTGGTGTCCTGCACTCTTGTGTGAACAGACAAATATTTCTATAAAAACGTGTTTTCACCTGTAATTAAAACATCTGTTTGTTTCCTTTGGTGTAGAAATTTTTTTTTAATATTTGCAACTGCCAAGTTCAAAAGTCCTTTAAAAGATATTACATTGGAATCATTTGCTGAGGTTTTGTACTAAACTGTTAGACAGAATAAGGTATAGTTTTAGTTTGAAAGTGCTTTTAAAAATGACTACTAGAGAAAACATGGGACTTTGCATCTTTAACTGATGGTTTTACAAAAATATGTACTATCAGGATCCAGATAACTAAGGAGAAAAAGGCACTTTGTAACGATAAAAAATAACCTGAGTTGCAGCATGGAAGTTATCCACTATAAAGTGTTGTGTTAAAGTTAGCATTAGAAACCTTTGCAAAGTTGTAGTTTATTAAATGTGTGGTTTATTAAATAACTATTAAAATGCAGGAAAGTTTTAAAATGCAAAAGAAAGCTCTCTCTTACAACACTTGAATATTTTATTTTTTTTCCCTACATTTTATTTAAGATATAGGGTGAAATGAGGGCAAGTTTCTATTTCATAAGCAAAATTCTCTGTTTAAAAAAGTCATAGCTGACTTTATCGAAGGTTACTTTTGGGAAAGAGGGCAAATTAGGGATATATTTTTGTTATTCATATAATTACATAATTTTCTTTCTTCGAAGTTTTCCAAAATGATAACCTTAGAAATGAAAAGGATTTGTTAATCGTAAAGTGACAAGAACTTATCTTTTATACTGACTTCTTCCTTCTACAAAATGTCTTTGTGTTCTGTAACATATGTACAAAAATATAAAGTGCTGCTAATCTCAGAGACAAATACCTAAAATAAATCCAAGTGTCAATTTTTGAAAAAATTTTAATAAAAGCTCGAGATACGATACACTCTCCCCTAATATTATTTTTATTGTGCTGTTGAAGGGGGGAAGTGATGGCCCCACAACACCTATTTTTTTGTGTTATTAAAAAATGGTTACGCAGTTGATAAGTGGCAACAATTCTTTTCTTTTATTATCTTTTACTGAAAGACGCATACAAATGTTTTTTGATATGGTCAATTTAGTAGGAAATTATTAGGCACACCAGTACACTCTATTTTAAGACCTCTTCAGTTGTCAATACTGGGGCTAGTTACTTGTTGACTATTAAAAGGATCACAGAAAAATGGAGATTAGGACTTGGTGTTCAATACATCTTTTATTGTTAGAGTATAAGGAAAAAAGGAGACCCTGGTAATATGTATTTGCTTTGATATTCTGATTAGCTTTTCAATTTGTTACATTTCCACACAATGGAAAGCATTATTTAACTCTGTCTTCAATATTATGGTTCTGAACCTCTGCATCTACAAAAGCTGTGTAATTCAGATAGTTTTGGTTGATATGTTATTACTTTATTTCATTTTATTATAAAAGAACATCATATGAATAAACATATGTAGTACTTACATATTAGCAAGAGTGCATGCACAGAAGTGTTTGGCACTGAAAAAATGTCCACTGCAGTTTTTTAAAACATTTCATATTTGTAAAAGCCAAATTCTTTGTAAGGCAATTGTTTCTTACAGAAATTGTCAAATTAAACTATAAATATCTTATGGTGAATGTATGAAACTAAGAATGAAATAATTGTAGCTTATTATGGATTTATAAAGAGCAACAATTAGAGATTATAGACACTATTATAAGATACTCTCAAAATTATTATTGTAAGATATTATTATTGTAAGATACTCTCAAAATTATTTCTAAAATCAAGTAATGCGTTGTCTCTTGAATATACAAAACCTTTTTTTAAATTTTTATTATTTTTTTAAGTTTATTTTTGAGAGAGAGGGAGAGACAGAGGCAGAGACAGAGCACAAGCTGGGGTGGGGGAAAGAGGGAGGGAGAAAGAATCTGAACCAGGCTCCAGGCTCTAAGCAGTCAGCACAGAGCCCAACGTGGGGCTCGAACTCACAGACTGGAGAGATCACGACCTGAGCTGAAGTCAAACACCCAACTGACTAATCCACCCAGGCGTCCCTTGAATATATAAAATCTTAAAGGTAGTCACTTAAAATGAGGTGCTATAGGTTACTATACGTTTACACATTTTAAATGAATAAATAAGAAACACATTTTGATAAAATGAAACAATGCAGAGAATCTCATTTGGAAAGTAATTTCAAAACTGATTTATTAAAAGTATATCATGTTTTTCCACTTGGGGCCAGCATTCAACAAAATTCAGAAAGGAGACTTTTTTTCTATGATATTCCCTCCTTTTATTCTTTTTCGATGCATTGTCTTAAAGTGGCCTGATCTGTCCCTAATTTAGGGTCCCCCAGCCTTGGTTCCTAGAAGGACAGACCACATTTGGCTCCTTCCATCCCACTCCCATTGTCCCTAAAACTTACTCATCCGATTTCTCAGCACTTAGGGCGTATGATAAAGATAGTCCTTGCTTACAGGAGAGCTTTGTTTCTTTTTACTTCTTAGTTAGGCCTCCCATCTCTTTTCTGGTATAATTTTATTTATTATTATTTTTTAATGTTTATTCATTTTTGAGAGAGATAGAGACACAGAGGGTGAACGGGGGAGGGGCAGAGGGAGAGGTAGACACAGAATCCGAAGCAGGCTCCAGGCTCTGAGCTGTCAGCACAGAGACCAATGCAGGGCTTGAACTCAGGAGCGGTAAGATCATGACCTGAGCCGAAGCTGGACGCTTAACTGACTGAGCCACCCAGGCACCCCTGGTATAATTTTAATAAAGTGTTTTAACAGAAAGGATCTAAAAGAACAGCTACATGTTAAGGACTTTAGTTAAGCAAAAAGAATAATGCCATGGCAAATAGTTGGGGGGGAAATAATTTAGCAGAAATGTGCGCATTTCTATAATGTATTCCTATACAAATATACACCATCTTATAATGGCTGAAAATAAATTGTACTACATCTTAAGATTGTTTTGATATTCCCATACACTTAGAAAATATTTAACATAATCAGTAGTTTAGTATATATGTATATTTAAAATCATTTAATATTCTGAATTTAAATCTTTGGGTACCAGAAGCATATTTTTTGCACACACAACAAATATTATATAGCTAGACTTTAAAATATACTTATAAATATTCTACATTTCAACTTGGAGTTGACAAAATGACTTTATTTTCAGATGGATTTGAATTAATATTAGCTTAGGCACCAGAGATAAGCATTAATTTGTAGAATCGAAAAATCCAAGGAAAGCAAAGTCAGGCATGGTGGGATCCAGGATCTCACACAGGATAATTAAGATTGGGTTTTATTTTCTTTATTACTTAGCTCTTTTTTTTTTTTTTTTTTAATATCTTTCCCCACTGTGCTATAAGCCCTCTCTAACAGAAGCTTACAGAGTTAACAAGAAAGCTTTAGGTTTACATTTGACCTTTCGGACCCTGTTGCAGAAGACTGGCTTTCACCTATCACCATAGTGAAGGTCTCAGACTGAGATCTGATTGGACTGAATTTTGCCACATGACCATAGTGAAGCTAATCATAGGCTCTAAGACCCGCACCCCATGAGTGACTGGACCAGACCACAGGCCTTCTCTTGCATCGAGGAGCTGCCTGAGCCAGCAATACATGTACTCTTAGCTGAACGGAAGGGTCTTCACATAGAGAAACAAAAATGCTTTCCTCAGAAGAAAGGTGACTACTACACAGCCACTTATGGTCACATTTAAAAACACTACTCATTCTCCACACTTCACAATCAGACAGATATACAGTATCAGTTTAAAGGTAGACCTGAATGAAGCATTTCAATTAAACTGAATTTTAAAGTATTTTTCAAGAAGTACCTCATATGTGAACACCTGTCTCACAATATTTTTCTTCTAAAAGTCTATAATCTAGTGGGATTATTAAGTTAACAGTTATAATACAAGTGAAATGTGGCAAGTACCTTAAACATATATAAAGAATGTTCTATTAGGATTCAGAAATCTGTGAAACATTTTGTATTTCTGTTATTTACCAAACAATTAAGTAGAGAATTTCCCGTTGTGACATCATTTTGATTATGTCCTATCAGAGAAATCAGGACAGTTTGGGAGGAAAGATTTGTAGTAGCTTTCAGAGAGAGTTAGGATTCAGAGTTTGGGGACAGGAAGGGGATGTGCCCGGGCACAAAACGTCAGAGGAAGAGTGAATTGTCTAGTTTTGTTAGCTACTAGTAATAGGAGGTAAGGCCACAAAGACATTTTGAGATCCTGATAGGACTGGCCTGATGAACAGATCATGACTAAGGGGTATAAAGAACAATAGTATCATTAAGCAGGGAAAATACATATTTGAATGCCTACATTTCATATCTAGATGGGTGGTCCAGCATCAGGGCTTATTTATTTCTTCCATGTATCTCTCTGTTGGTGACATACTCTTAAGGGCAGTTTACAGAAATGGTTGCCATCAGTGAAGGTAGATATTCCTGTAACATCAGATGCTGGCTCCCCTCTCCAGGTGCCTTCAAGTTCTTATATGGGCTGTGGTTATAAAGATTTTTTTTTCAGTTTATGAAAGTATTTTTGATTTTTGTTTTCTTTTGTTTGTTTTAAATTTAAGAAGAGATGTTGGAGCACGATGTGTCAAAATTGGAATAAAACCTAAATATAAAACTTTTAGAAAAAAAATCTTTATTATGTTCTCATTTCCATATACCCCTATTCACCTCTACTATCATCCAGTAGACTACCACTTTTCACAGTTTTTTTTTAATTTTCACAGTTTTTAATGCAAAAAGCACATATGCATATATAAATATATATAACATGTGCATACACCCTCCTTTATTTTATTAAAGGAAACACACATACCCTTCCACTTTGCTTTTCTCTTAGTAATATCTCAGACATATTTCCATCATGAAAATAAAAA